GGGCTTGATAACCATAACTGGGTATTATATTCTGTAGCTTGTAGTACGAACCTAAACGCCGAAAACGTGAGGAAAAGCAGAAATAGAAGCCCTATATTCGTGGAGGTACGAAACCGGAAACAAAACGCATATTTGATTCGTTTTATCGCAACACTCTCGGCGAACAGGAGGAGCAGGATTGGTATGGGTTTGAAAGAAATTGTGGTGTTCATTGCTAAGCTCAAATTTGACCAATAGTTCATGTGTCCGGTGGTCGAGATGGTCGTCCGAATCAACTGCATTCCGGAAATCTATAAATTTTTGTAGAAATCTCCACTTTACAATACCAAATTACAGGTGACAAAAGTACTTTCCATAAGAAGTTAAGTAGTAGGCTCACCAGATTTTTCGGTCACATTATGTATAACTAATCTTTTCCAAATATGAGAATTTTAGACGTTCAGCATTGTTCAGTAAACCCTAGTTCACCTTTTATTAACATATCATTATCAAATTAACCAACTGCATAGCCTTGGATAGAGCAAATCGCACAGTGAATACTTGTCCCTTGAAAAAGATTAAGCCTATAAATATTTCGAGTTATGTTTCGTTGATCAACGAGCATACTGACGATCACAAAGTTAACTGTTATTCAGGGGAGCGACAAAAGCTAGATGATGGGTGATCTAAGTTACATTCCAAGAGTGTACGTTGATAAAAAGAGCTAACTTATCTAGAACACATGTTTATTCACCTTAACAATGCGTTTTGTTTTATAGATTTTGATCCAGATAAGTTAGAATGCCAAGGTTCACTAAATGTAACATGCAGCATGTACTGCAATTGTCCAGTTGGTTGGATATTTGAAACACTTTGGAGTTGAATTTCAATTTCAAAGAACAGTCCAGTCCCTAAACAATCAGCACGGGTTAACAATGTTTGCTCCTATACGACCATGTTCAAAATATTTGGATAGTACACGAGTAAATCTGGGACCAGATGTTATTTTGGGAGCTCCCCTTTGTTACATTCGGCGCCACTGAAAGCATTTCTGTTTAGTTGCTTAACCATTGCTCACGTTTATTATTTAATGAGACATTATCCTACCACATTTTAAAAAGCTTGTTTCGAGAATATATCCTAGACAAGTCACTACTTATTATTGACCAGTGTGCTTACTTTATTAGAGTACCGCAGCAGTTACGATGTAATCCTATCGTTTGTCGCAATGCCTATCGCTCCAGACTTGTGGGTTTTTCATTGCCTAGGGGACAATTTTAAAAGGACAAACCTGGATTACTCAACAAATATTCCGTTGTAGTACCTGCAAACTATAGTTTTCTTATCTAGATATACTGGTTTTACTATCTATGCCTGGTCTCGGCACTAATTTTGATACTTGCAGCCCAACATGTTGCTCTGTGACAGCACAATTTTCTGCTATCAAAATTCCTGATGATGATTTATTGCGCAAATTACTACTTCATTTGCGCTTTTCCTTGTCAACATTTATTCGGCATTCCTCGTACGTCGATGGAAGAAAAGTGACCATGGTTATCAGCTGTTTGCTTGCAAGCAGCTTGAATGATCGCCAACCTCATGCTTGTTCACTGAAAGGTCCTAGATTAACCAATATATTTCACTCAGTATGGATACTGTAATACAATGGAATTATCATTTGATTTTTATCTTTCAGCTTTATGATGCCATATTAAGCTAAATTATTCAATTATCTACTTAGGTGATTATCATGCGCAGAAAACCAAGGTTGTTATAGCTGCCAGCATACCACAAGCTTGCTGCACTCTGCACCCATCAGTTAGACGTGTTTCATCGTTCGATGGAACAAAGCAGTCATTATTTCGGTAAAAAGGGACTGGTAACTAAGCTTTAACTATATTTCACAGTTCTAAACTCAACTTGCTAGTCCTAGCTGGAGTTTACACGGCACTAATTTACACGTGATTGTATAAGCTTCTACTATGTTTCTGCTTGTATTTTGAAGTATATAGGCCGGCAATGCTATTGAGTGGTGCGTCTTTCAGTGGTATTAATATAAAGGTTACAGCTACTGCGCTCTTCTGAATTCGCCAAATATTTGCGTAGATATGTTTTATTCAACAATGTCTAACGTCATTGTGGCGGATCAGTATATCAGTAGATACTGGATATCAGGAAGTAACCAGTATGCAGTGTACTTTTCATGATCTATTCGTTACAGCTATGCGTTTCGCGATACAAAATTAAACGGTATAATCATCAACACACAGAAGAGCCAAGAACGGCTGGTATCGGAGTAGTATCCACATTTTTATCGTTTACCCAGCATTGTAATGCAAAACGCGCCTTCGTCACATGTGGTTTGGTAATTCAACACCTGTCTAAGGTAACGCCATTGAGCTTTGTGTCACCAGGTGCAAGCAGTGGAGAGATAATGTAACAAACACAACCACGGCATGCGTCTCATTTGCACAGCTAACGGGGGCACTCTTACCTACAAATGGCTGGCATATGTTACTTTAACTTCCAGTTCTACTTGGTAAGCAGTAACTTGCTCCACACAGCGTGGTGTGAATCAAAAAGGAAAATACCTATTTTTCTTAACCTGACATGTGGTTGCATGTGCATGCGTTCACTTGCACTTGGTTCGGTATTACAAATTCTGTATTTCGGATTTTAACTAACTCGATTTCATTTGAATTTTATACTTTTCTATAATTAAATCTGCTACACGGAATTTCTGACTCGAAGTGGTAAGTTTCGTGTTGGTTCTAAAGATACGAATTCTTCTATGTTGACAATGGTTGAGCGGTTGGTAAAAGTAGAGCCATCTAAATAGCTGCGACAAGATATTTAAGCTTCATATTCTTGCAAAATGTTCATGTCAAACGGATGAGTTCGTAGTTGCAGAAACAAAATGGCCCTACTTGTGCGGTTAATTCGCTTATTAATATAACATGGCGACAGAGTACAAAACAGTACAAGGTAAAACAAAAGAGCAGGTCGCTGTATAGTATAACGTGTCCAAATTACATAGCTGCAAATGTAATGAGATTGATAATGACTTTTTCAAACCAGTGATAAACTAACATTTACATGTACTAGACTCACGGAACTTCTTGCAGGGATCCAATATACTTTAAAACTAAATGAGCTTGATTAAGAGACTAAAACTCAAACAAATTATGCCGCAGTTCCCCTACTTACTCGCTGAAAACGTCACACTAATCTGTCAAAATAAGCGCAAATCGTCATAAAATTCTAAATGGCCGACAAAATCATCGTCATGCCTTTTGTGGATAATCGGTATAAATATTTAAATATATTTATAATACAAAGCACCGTATGCAACTATCAAGAAATCTCCCAAACTCCCAAACCCTAAGCGCTGTATAATAAACCATCCAACAATACAATTAAGAAATAAAGATAACGAGACACAGTAAACGCTTTGAATATCGACTATAGTCACAGAATAAGATAAAACAAATGCTCGTGTCTTAAGCGTAGTGTAGGTTCATTGACTTCCGAATTAACGTTGGTTTAATGGAATGTCTCGAGTCTGACACGGAAATCGGACTGCCAGCAAGTCAAAACTATATATTTTTTATAATCTTCCACTTTTTGTTATCCTATTGTACAAAGTCATATTTCCACCTCACTTAATTTCACTTTAGCAGCTTGTTGAATTTAACAGGGTCCGCAATTTCATGAAAATTACGGAATTGAAGCATAGTGTAACAATCAAACATTTTTATCTCAACGGAATATAATCGTCTGAAATATACCAAGATATGTTAAATAGATTGCTTGACAATGCCCCTTCATACGCCGCCGTTAAGCTTTGGGCGCACGAGTTTAAGCGTGGCAGGGAGAATATTGAATTGAGCCCAAGTCAGGGAGACCAACAACTGCCACCACCAAAGAAACTCTTGATCTAGTGCTAAATATAATCATGAAACGGCGCAGATTAACAACTCGGCAGATAAAAGTGCGTTCGGGCATCTCCCTGGAGCGAGCAGGTAATATCTTGTATCAGGAATTAGGCTACTCAAAAGTTTTTGCTTGATGGACGCCGCATCTTCTGACTTCTGAGCAGAAGGGCATGCGATATGTGATGTCAGGGAAGATTTGGCACTCTGTGAGCTAGCTACCGAGGATTTTCCGGCACGACTAATTTCCAGGAAGAAAAGAGCAATCAAACAATATAAGCGTGCATCACCTCCTACGCCAAACGTTACAACACCACACCGTCAGCTGGCAAGATGATAGCATCCGTTTTTGGAATTCCAGCAATGTTGTGATAGTTGGTTTCCTTGAACGAAGTTATGCCATCACCGCACAGTACTATCGTGCGCTGCTGAAACTTATCAGAAAAAAGATCAAAGGAAGAGGCTAAGAAGGTTGGCGCGAAGAGTTACTTACTACCTAGGCTGTACTCCTGCCCACGCCTCTTCCACTACTCTGAAAACAATCCACTAGTGCGAATTCTAGCTTCCTTCTCACGCACCCTTTTCCATAGAGCTGGCTTCGGCTGAATTCTAAACATTTCGAACCCCGCAAAAATCTGCAGCTGGCAAACAGATTCCCAAAGACAACGACGTTATTAAAGCCGTAGAAGCGTTTTATAGTTGCAATTTGAAGAGTTCTTTTCCAAATGGATCCATCGCAATGAGGCTGGACCTTACCGTGGTGCGATGGTTCGTGTGCCTCAGTGATCCACTGAGCTATACTGGGTGGTGCTTTTGCAACTTCAGAGCCACTCATACCAGATTGGTCAATGGTTAGAGGCCAGACAAACTCAGCCTCCTGGTCCTCCGGGTTGGGGTTGGAATGAGGGTGGCTCCTTATTCCTTAAAACGGAATCCTTGTAGTCCAGTGCTAAACCCGCTGCCTTGCGGCCAGGTTTTTGAACCAAAGGCTTTGGTTGAGAACCCTAATCGTTCTCCTGTCTAGGCCTGGGCAACGTGACATTATTCTGCCCACGCAATACAGTGAATTTCACTTCCAAAAATTTTCTGATGTTCTGGCCACCGCATAGGAAAATCAACGGTGCCCCATCTGCTGCATCGGGTAGGGTAGATATGGGTATGGTTGCTACTGCTCAAGCCTTCCCATCTTCTTATTCCCCTTCTTGCGCTTTTTCACCCTTATCGTCTCGTTCCAGCTTCACTTTTATCCCCCTAGTTTTCAACCCCCCGATTCTCGGTCCTCCACCAGCTTGCTTCAGTAGTCGCTTGTCTTTTAGTTTCAAATCCCAGGTGAACGTGGAGCGTCATTCTTGCACTGTCAACAGGCCCATGTCCAAGCAAGCGGCCCATTCCAGTTCATCGGCTTCCATTTGGAGCACTCGATCCTCCTTCAGACTGGCATGCCTAAATGTACGCACATTGCTTCAGATCGGTCAACAGGCAGCACCTGCCCGAACATTAGAGACCCTCTCCATTGATATCTGCTGCTTATCGGAGATCCGCCAGCAAGACTCGAGCTTTGTGCTCACTCTGCGATCCCCTTCAGGTGACACTAGCAGCACTTTCTCATTGCGCCTATCTGTTGACGATACAGCTACGAGCACCGGCCAAGCCAGTGTTGGTATTGCCCTGAGTCCCCGGGCTGAAGCTGATCTGGTTGATTGGATTCAAATCAGTAGCCGGATGTGTGCGGTCCGATTGTCTGCCTCGTTCAAAGCTTCGAAGTCGCGTGGGACTAAGAGGTGTCTACTCGTTATCGCTGCCTATGCACCGACAAACTGTAGCGATGACTCGGTAAAAGACGACTTCTATCGTCAACTGAACGAGCTCCTTCGCCACAGAAGAAACTCGGACACTGTAGTGCTGGCTGGGGATCTGAACGCTCAAGTCGGAAAATTATCCACAGATGAGCTGCATCTGGGCGGCCAACATAGTGTAGGCTCCCGTAATGATAACGGTGAGCGGTTACTTCATTTGTGTGAGGATGCTCGCTTATTTCTTGCGAGCACTAACTTCAGACACAGCACCGCCGAGGGTGACTTGGCGCCCACCAGCCTCGAACCAGTTATGGACGCAAATCGATCACATTGCGAGAAGTTACCGATGGAGAGGCTGCGTCCAGAACTGTCGCCCGATTTGCAGCACTGGTGTGGACACCGATCATGCACTTGTATGTGCTGAACTGCAGACGCCTTTTGGCGGAAGCTAACGATGACGTTGTGAGCGCATTGATACCAGCCAACTGACAAAGCCAGCTGTTCTGAATGAGTATCGAATTACGCTGACATAAGAGTTGAGTAAGAGCTCACTAGAGATAGTTTATGGTCACTAATCACATGTTCGCCAGACAGTGCTAGCAGCATGCAAATCCTCATATGGTATGTCTAATCGCCAACATGAACATTGGGTCTCTTCACAGTCTCTGGAACTTATAGATGCTCGCCGGCATGTTCCGGCTGGAAGCGAACACAGCGAAACTCGCAAAGAGCTCCGGGTAATACTCCGTGCTAGCCTGAAGTGAGACCGCGAATCCTGGTGGTCTCATCGTGCGACAGAGATGAAAATGGCCGCTGCCCTTGGTAACCATCGTAAGTTATTCCGTCTTATATCGGAAACGGGCAGCAGGAGACCTGACGTTAGTGAAACTATACGTGACGTGGGTGGACAGCCTATCCACGACTTATAAAAACGCTTGCAACGTTTGGCTGAGCACTTTGAAAGGCAGTTTAATCGGTCGGAATTGTTAGATTTCTCGCCGACCAGTGATCGCCCAGCTCCGTGGGCTTTTCATTTGGATCCACCCTCTCGTTGAGAAGTCAAACGTGAGATCGGACTGTTGAAGTTAAATAAAGCCGCGAGACCTGATGATCTTCCTTCAGCCCTCTTCAAATTCGGGGGACCTGCTCTTGTGGATGATTTACACGAGGTACTAGTCAAACTGTGGGAGCAGGAAACTGTACCAACCGATTGGAGCCGATCCATCATAGTCCCAGTTTTGAAAGAAGGCTCACAATCGGAATGCGGCAGCCATAGAGGAATCAGTCTGATGTCCATCGCCTCCAAATCGTTTACCTCTGTCATCCTTCACAGACTGACTGACACTCGTGAAAGCCAGATTCGTGAAGAGCAAGCTGGATTTCGTTGAGGTCGTGGCTGCATTGACCACATCTTCACTTTGCCTCAGTTGTTGGAGCACCGTCACATATATTGACAGCCCACCCTTGTCGTGTTCCTCGATATCAAAAATGCATTCGATTTGGTAGATAGACATGCACTTCGGGACTGTCTACTCAGGAAAGGTGTACCTGAGAAATATGTGAATATTATCCGAGCATTCTATGCTCGTAGCTCGGGCAGCGTGAGGGCTTACGGCAAGTTGTCGTCGACCTTTAATATCCCCAGCGGCGTTAGACAAGGATGCCCGCTGTCACCCTTCCTCTTCAACTTCGCTGTTGACGAAGTCATGGAAATCGCGTTCACAGGACACGACTTAGAAGGTGAGGAGCTACTCCCTGGAAAAGGACTACTTGTTTTAAGTAGCTGATGATATTGCCCTCATCTGTGACAGCTCACAAACGTGCCAAGCGGCACTGGACAGATTAGCACTAGCTGTCCGTCACTTCGGGCTTTGCTTCTCACCCTCGAATTGCAAAGCGTTCCTCCATGATTGGTCTGGACCGCTTCCTACGCTGACCCTTGGTGGGGATCAGCTGGAAGTCGTTCAGAAATTCAATTATCTGGGAAACTGTATCAGCGCCCGTGGGATTGAAGATGAGATCACGAACCGTATAGCAAAAGCTCGAGGCGCTTTTGCTAACCTTCGCCACTTATGGCGCTGGCGCGATATCACTCTTGCCCTGAAGGGTAGAGTGTACAATGCAGCAGTACGTTCGACCCTACTGTACGGTTGTGAAACCTGGCCACATAAAGCAGTGGACCTGAAGAGGCTAGTTACATTCGACCATCGGCGTCTTCGCAATTTAGCTCACATATGGTGGGAACACCGCGTGAGCAACGAGCGTGTTCGACGCCTTGTTTATGGCACAGGAAAAGGAAATGAACCGCTCAGCACCGTCATTTCACGCAGAAGGCTCCGATGGCTCGGCCACGTGTTACGCACGCCAGCCCACCGATCCCACGACGTGTGTTGTTTGCGCGCCGAGGGTGTGGATGGAAGAAGAGGAGGGGTGGCCAAGCGATAACTTGGTCGAGAGGGATGAAGGCCCTCACTTCTGAGCTGGCCTCGGTTGGAGCGTCTCGGCTCCCTGGTTGGGGTCCAAAAGACCATGAACACGTTTGGTTGGACACACTTGCTGATATGGTTAAGTGCCGACCTCGGTGGCGTTCGTGCTGTGAGTTTCTTTTCCCACCCCATCCCTCTTAGCCTCCCTCTCCAACCAAGATCTCCTTATTTAGCCTTATATAATTTTGTGTAGTAATTTTTTGGGTGCACAACAGCCAGCTGATAGCTTACCGGAACGATGCCCATCCGTTACCGGTAGCTCAGCCAGCTTGCACCAGTTGCATTTTTTTCTTCTTTTCTATGTATTGCGGCACAGTAGCTGAGGTGCTCTCCGCCTCTAGCTAACGTGTATGATGATGATGATTTCCAAATGGATAAAACGGCTACAGCACCGCTGGAGCAAGTGTGTTGCGCTTGAGATGGGTTATATCTAAATCTAAAACCATCGAAGACTTTGTATCTCGTTTGATTTCTTTAAGGATTAAAACCTTTCATTTAACCCACGTATACAAGGAGAGGGCGTCGACACATCTGGAAACCCCGAACTGCAAATTCCTCAATGTAATTGAAAAACGTGTCAAAACACTGAGCAACGGACGGCAGGACTCTACAGATCATAATTAGCAATTTTCACGTAAATTCATCTAACTACGAATTGATCAGGAAAATCGCTCCTTCGTCTTCACCGACATATTTAGCAGTGTCAACTTAAAAGGAGTAAAGGTGGATAAAAACGTAGCCGTTACGACCTAACTCAACTTCAGTATGTTGCTCTGTGAGCAAATCCAGAGACCCAACATAACCTCGTGTATCTGGACATATGGTAGAAGTCACGCAGAGACCGCTTCCCATCATAAGTCGAAAAATATTACTTTGATCAGTCTATGCATTGGTGAAACTCATGTGCAACCGACTTCAGGCAGCAAATGATGCTCGAACAGGAAATGGGTGGCATCCATTTAAACATGGAATCATAAGTAGAAATTCAACTCGCTTTGGTTACAATAAGCAGTAGCCTGTAAAGTACAGTTGTACGTTAACGAATAAGACAAGCAGAATGTCAAAAGTTTGAACTTCAACTACATTGATATAAAAGCCCAGCTAATGCGCGGCATCGGGACTATACTCTTCGAAAAGTAAACTACGAAAGCAAAACAGAAAAATGGGAAATATACCATTACTCCTTTCCTGCGGACCAAGTATCCATGCAGTTATGTTTGAAGGCGCGTTAAACACCAAGATTCTAACGCTGTACCTACACTAAATGCAGTATTCCGAATCTTCAAGCTGTATACGAGGAACGTGTCAAAAATGACCATCAAACTACTCGAACCACAATACTTGATGATATATCGGAAGGCAGCGGTCACTTGAAAAAGAGCTTTGTCTTAATCACAAAGAAATGGGGAGGAACCAGATTGATTCTATGTTTCCATCACTATTCAGTGCAAAAGCCATGAGTAAGCGCAAATGGACCAAACAGGAAAAAATTGTACACTTGAATTCAGGAGCACCAGGGCGATTGAGGGAACTGCGCCTCATCTTTGGTCTAAGTGCGTGTCTATTAGGAAGGACACAGCTTGGGTTTAATTCAGTGATCCTGCAACACGGATACAACATGAGGAATAGACACTATAATTGCTTGGCTGTCTTCAGAGGATGTAATAGACTTGTGCGTCAATTTGATCCCTTATACCAGGGGCTAATGAAACTTTTGGACGAAGTGTAATCCGTGGCCTGAGCCAACACAGGTCGGAAAAGGAACAACGTGTAGTATGGCTGGTTTACACGCAGTCTGTAAGACGCGTGACTGTTGCAACAACTAAATTTCAATGGGCTGTACCACTTCGCAAAATTCCTCAATCCAACCAACACAAATCAACCAAGTAGTCCTGAATGATTCAGTGAGCAACCGATCCGCGTGACGTGTGTTTACGAACGCTTACGGTGTGCATGCGGAAAAGCCTGACAGTGGTTATTTTCCTTCTCTGGAATTGCTTATTGTCTAATATCTGCCAGGAAGTTATTTGTTACTGCAGGCTGAAGATACATTTCCACTGGTAGCGGTGTTTCTGCAATGAATACACCCACTTTAGAAAGCGAATCATCAACACAACTGCTAAAGTAAGCTTTAGATTTTTCTATTTATTGTATCCCTTTGCTCATTATCAGTAACAGCTAGACAGTATTTTTTCAAATTCCGTTGCCAGGCTAGCTTGCTTCATGTGTCAGTCCATGCCTAACACTATTTTGTCACGTTTTATCAATATTTGTCACTTTAACGATCCCGAATTTTTTGATAAATATATGTGACTATGGCGCATATTATTCCGTATTTCTTCGGTTGATTTTAATCGCTCGATTTACGAGTTCGTCGTCATTTCTGCTATTATGTTAGTAAACAAGACAAATTGTTAGGACACAAAGTAATTAGTATTACCTGCCTATTGTGTCTTGTGAACTTTTGCACTTCGTGCATTGGTTTTTCCTTTTACCAATTTGAAATCTTTCGTTGAATGCAGCACAAATTTTCCAAACATTTTGTATGAAGTGTCTGGGTAAAATAAAGCCGGGAAAAGTCGATAATTTGCTTTAGTCCGCAAAGAGAACAAAGCGTTCCAGAACGAAGCTTGCTGGGTTCATCGAAACAGACGGACGTGCAGCACTACTATGTTCCAAAAGTCCTACTCACCCGCGCGCAGAAAGTTCTCCGAAACGAACAACCTCCAAGTGGTGCCAGCTAGGTGGTTCGGGTAAATCCCGTTCCAGCAAATGGTTCGGCGACAGTGTTCCAGGATGTAGTGGGATTTCGCCTGGCAAGCGTTCTCCCTATAAAAAATCACAGATATCCGTTTAACAACACGGTGACGTGGCGGATGTGACTCGCCACTAAATAAAGTCACTACCTCTTCCCTTTTCCGGAGGAGCATTCACACAT